TTCACGAAATTAAAATAGTGTCGACAAATTTACAATACACTTATCTGATCTCATTTTCCAAAACAGAAAACAAAGAAGAACGGAATCGCTATGAATCAACCAGTTTTGGCGCGTGAGTTGTTGCGTTCAACATCACAGGCTCTTCATGAGATACAAGAAAAGATGGAGAAGATGAAGGAGGCGCTCAACGACTTGCTGTACGCTCGGGAGGAGATGGAAGCAATGCTGCATCGCGAAGAAGAGATCATCAACGAGCTGAGTGCAAGCATCGGAGGGGTTCCACCTCCGAGAGGTTTTCCGCCGTCGTACGGGATGGTACTGGGGCGTGTTATTAGGATTCTAACGAGTGGTCCTCCTGCTCAGTGAACTGGACGCTGACTTGATGTTTGTAAACTCTTCTCAAACACAGCAATCACTTTTATATAAATTTATATACTTTGTGCGTGAAACACTTTCTTAAACTTTTAGACGTCTTGTTCATTGTCACACGAAAACCCAGTAACCTCTTCATCTGTCTTCTGCATTTTTCCAAATTCTTCATCATTTCGTAAGGCAGAATTTGTTGTGCACAGCAGCAGCCAAGTCAATCTCAACCTCATCACTCGTACGTAAGCACTCGTGATACGATGGCGCTCAAACCGATGGGCGTTGCGCAAGAAAGCGTAAACCATTCCCAACATTAGAAGTCCACAACTTGTACCATCGGGCTGAGCAGGCTCGTCAATCCACGTTTTTACAATTTCCTTAGGAAATTGTTCCTTTGCTCCACTTTCTGTGTGCCATTTTTCCAAATACGGCAACAATGTATTTTCCAGGCATTTGTCATCTCTCTTCGATAACATCGTTAGTGCAAAGGCTCGTAAAAATTTACGCGTAATGTTGTTGGAAATGCCACTTCCACGATGATAACTCCCCAATGAACACTATCCAAATTCAACGGCAAAATCACGAATGGTGTCTCCGATAGCCACTGTTTTTGCTGACTTGGCCATATCAACAGCGAAGACAGCCCAATAGCTCCTTTAACTGTGTCAGCGATCATCTGTATCCCCATGCTGATTACTGCGTCATTCAGCATTGCGTTGCGAGGAACTACAGCAGCTACATCCATAAAATTGACGAAAGTGGACCCCGACTTGCACTTCAAAGTTGTCATCAGAGAGAAACTTGAATATTTCTGAAGCACGTCTTCAGCCAACGCTCGGTGAACCTTTGCAGCTTCTGAATGAAGTAACCCACTTGTTTTCACCTCTAAGGAAAAAGGTCAACCGGATGGGCTTGAACGAGGCGCCAGTCTTGGTTCAGCCACTTAACATCTTTGATATAGCCTCTGGCCTTTGCCTTGAGTGTGTAAAAATTCTCCATTCTGTTTAAGAAAGTGCTGTAAGTTCAATACAAAAGGAGTTAGTAGTGCATTAATTTGTACAACCTTACATCTGTAAAAGTGCCCTTAACTCATGAAGGGCACCCTTAACTCATCAATATGAAAAATTCCCACCTGTGTAGAACGAGATTTCCCGAGCCAAATGAGACCAGCAAACCCCACGGCATTTCCACCTTCGCCGCATGCATTTCCTCGCGCTTTAAAATAATTGCTGCAGACGCCTTCTTCAGTAGAGAGGCAGGTATGACAAAAGTATGGTCAATGCTGATGGTATCACTAGTTTCATCGGCAACTTTGCACGTAACAGGACGAACTTGTAGAAATTTGTCATCCATGCGAACTGGATACTGGTCGAGCACGTTTGATACTTGTGGCGCTTGAATCTGATATCGATAAATGTTAGACAATGGTCATATACGAACATTATTTGCAAATTAGCACTAACCAATTTCGTCCAGAAGTTCCTGTAACGTGTCACTCGAGTCGCTATCGAGTTGAAAGGTACCATCACGGTCGCCATCTTCAGGTCCGGAGGAAGAGCTAAGCTCGAAAAGGGCGTCCGTGTCATCTAGACAACATAAGCCATTAACATTGGTTTGTAGTGACCACAGATAAATCAAATAAGCTGTGACAAGTACCATCAGACATTTAAGTTGCGATCTCCAGTCAACTGTCGCCTCGGTGGAAGATCGTCTAGCAGTAGAAAACTCCGCGTAAGTGACGGCTTGCGACGCGCGGCACTGATTTCACGAATGAGCCCCATAATTCAACGGCCAGGATTTGTCGCACTTAACATCATTATTCGAACTTAGTTGAGGCAGTACTGTATGCATTGGTTATTTTCCGGCGAATTTAAAATTTGACATGTAAAGTTTACACTTCAGAAAATTTCATGAAAAGTTTAAGGGTGCTCAAGTTCTTCAGCGCCTTTAACGGTTCTTTTTATGCAAAATCC